TATTTAATATCTGATTTAATGATTGCTTTGAGAAAACCTTTGAGAAAACTCTGAAAAAAATTCACTTTCAAATTTCAGATAATCAAATCCAATACTTTTCAGTGAATCCCACGAATTTTCACAAACAAAATGTTTAGTAATCTTTTGATTAACCACGAATTTATACGTATTAGCTGAACACAAATCTGTTGAGGTGAAATGAGGGAAAAATGTGGTCAACTGATAAGGGAAATGTATAAAAAGGAGTTGAAGCAATGAAAAAATGACAAAAGGAATACAAATTTTTTGCTGAGTCTCTTCGAAAAGAGCAAAGGATGAACACAATGGCAAAACTCGGCTTTGGCAGGTTGGTGTATAAATTTGCTGCAAGTTAAGCAAGATTGCCCAGTTTGGCTATGACCAGGGTTGGGAAAAACTGTTTTTGTTTTTCCAAAATTTGGAAGCTCGATCTTAACCAAAAGCCTAATGATCTTTCAACCGAATATTGATATTTTCAGAACCCTGAACTCTTTGCAAGGCTCGGACGACCCGCACGAGGTGGCTATCGATGAGAAATGGATGGACGTCTAACCCAGATCTGTACCACAAAAATTTTTCCGAATCTCCAAATCCAGATCTGCTTTTTTTCTATGAATCTTTTGTTAGCAGTACTGTGAATGAAATAAAAGAAAAAGTAAAAGAAACGCCAATATAATTTGCACGAATCGTTTAAGCATTCGGTTAAAAATTGTTCATTCTAGGCGGTTCGATGTTCCACTTCTTTTTTGTTGTTTTTTTTGGAAAACCCAAAACCCCCGGAACCATATTGGAACCATATCGGAACCAAATCGGAACCGTATTGGAACCATATTGGAACCGTATTGGAACCATATCCGAACCATATTGGAACCAAATGGGAACCATATTGGAACCTAATTGGAACCATATTGTTTTTTGGAACACCCTGTATTTTTGGTTCGAAAAACTGATGAAGAAGAGGAAAAGATTCCAAGGTGAACAGTTGAAATATTTGACAAGTGAGCAAATAAAAATGTTTCTAATTATGCTCAAACTATAGTGTTTTCTCATTTACGGCTAAAAAAAATTGGTATGATCTAAGCTGGAACTAAAGTTAGGTCAAAATTTCAAATGGTCAAATGGTCAAAATTTGCTGCTTTCATGTTTTTTTTAGCTTTTCGAAACTAAATGTATCGTTTTGAGATCAAAAAATTTTTAGTTCGCTTGCTGAATTTTTAATTTCCATGGCTTCTTGGCGATCATCGATTTGTGTGATTTGTTGTTTGGATTGATTGACTTGTTCTGCTGTTCTACAATTTTGAGGAAAGAGGACTGGGTTGTTGGGGTTGAGGACTCGATCTCATCATTTAGCTCCTTCAATTTCAAATTCTGATTGAGACAGCTGAAATTTTATATGTTTTCTGGATTTACTTAAAAGTTTAGCCCAATTAAATACGAGTTTCAATTGGTAGACTGAATGAAATGAGCAGCTTCAATCGATTGGATTTCAAGACAGCTTCACCTCAGAATGGTGCCACCGCCTCGATCCGGCTTCGATGACCTCACGGAAGGCACGGAGGCGCGATGATCGGTACAGTTTCTGGATCCGGGCAGCGTCCTTTGCGTCGTAGGTGGTTCTTCTTGGCGGCGGCGGTGCTCGTCGGGTGGTTTGGGCACGAGGCGGACGAGGCGGCCGTTGATCGTCTTCAGTGGCGTTCTTCTTCTTGACGTCGGTGGTGAGTTCCTGAAGGGCTTCGTTGAGGTCGACTTCGTTGGTGATGGCTTCGAGGCGGCGGCACCATTCTCGAAAACCCGACTGAGGTGGCTCTTGAGCGTCACTATGCCCGAATTTCTGGGATAATTTTTTGCCTTAAATTTGTGTATTTTTTCGAGAAATTCTCTGGTAAGCCTCTCTACACTCTGGTAAGCCAGCCAGATCTTTGTTTAAAGCCGCCAAAACATCGTTTAATGCACTATTTTCTGTAAAGTCAGTGATTAAGCCAATTCTGAATCACTAAAACATTAAGTTTTCAAAATATCTTCTTCAAAGTTTATCAAATTTATCAAAATTTTACCAATAAACAATCCTTTAAGCACGAAAAAGGTGAGCAACAATCCTTTAAGCAGGTGAGCAAATCCCCGGAAAGGATCAAGGTTTTAAAAGTCCTTAAAATTTTTTAATTTTACCATTACAGTTACGTGTTTCATATTTCAAAAATTATGGTTTTATTTGTTTAATTAGAACAAGGCAAATTCCACGTTCAATTAGATTTCCCGAGAGAAAATCTTGTTCTTCTTCAATTGATCAGCTTTTGATTGATTTCGTTTGTTTAAGCTGTTGGCTTCTGTAAAAGCTTTAAATGTGAACTTTAAGCTTTAAAGAAACATGTAAACGAAACCTTTCTAGCGCACTCACACGTAAATTTTACGAAGCTCTTTGTCGGTTATGCGTTTTCCATGATTTTCTTGTTACCGTATTTTCTCTAATAGTAGTGCACCCCGTCGAGCCGAGTTGATGACTATTTTACGGTTTCCAATCTTTCGCAGAAGCTCAACACCCTAAACCCCCACAAGATCTCATCGTCAGCTACATTTTCCGACCCCACATCGATAGCTTCTGATAAGCGGTTCTCGAGATTTCGAGGAATTTAAGCGAAGCTTTGGGTACACTACTATTAGAGAAAATACGGTAAACAGTACCGTATTCTCTCTAATAGTAGTGCACCCCGTCGAGCCGAGTTGATGCCTATTTTACGGTTTCCAATCTTTCGCAGAAGCTCAACACTCAAATCCCCCACAAGATCTCATCGTCAGCTACATTTTCCGACCCCACATCGATAGGTTCTGATAAGCGGTTCTCGAGATTTCGAGGAATTTATGCGAAGCTTTGGGTACATTACTATTAGAGAAAATACGGTATATGTTACGTCTGATTTTGAAACCATTCAAATTGAACGTCCGTTTTTGAAATCCTTTATCTCCAAAAAAGCTCATTTCAGCCATTTAAATCAAAAATTTTCAAAAAAAGGAAAAAGAGCTAGGTTCCACCGAGATTCGAACTCGGGTCGCAGGATTCAAAGTCCTGAGTGCTAACCGCTACACCATGGAACCACAAGGTAGGGCCACTTTTTAGAGTCTTTTGAGGAGTTTTGTCAAACTTATCTTCTTTAGTTTACACATGACATTGTGCGTTTTTTAAAACTCAATATATTGTGCTTAATAATAAGGGAAAAAAATGTGCCAATCTTTATACAAACACAAAAACAAAAGTGTTCAAGAAGTACAACACAACAAAAAAAGAAAGTAGATTGAACTAGAAAGAATACAACAGTTTGAAAATTGAAAATTGAAAATTGAAAGACCGTTTAGCTTATTGTTTTTGTCGTAGCATCGTTTGAGTCTAGATTAGTGTAGAAAAAGAAAGAATAGAATGAAAAGTTGTAAAAAATTGTAAGATATGAAAGTTGAAGAAGGTGAAGAAGTTTAAGAGTGATGTGTTCAGACTGAAAATGAATTTTTGTTTTTTTGTGCTATTTGGGGATTTGTTTCGATCGTTTTCCCGTCTATTTCTTACTTAAGTACCGTATTTTTTTGAATAGAAGACCGGGTAAAGAGTATCATTGCGTACTCCTGCGTAGCAGCCCTTTTTAAAATTTCTTTTCTGCATAAAAGCTTTCAATGAAGTGCTATAGAGCTGGAAAATGACTCAAAAATCTGTTAGCTCATGTGGTATTTTTGAGCCATTTTCCAGCTCTATAGCACTTGATTGAAAGCTTTTATGCAGAAAAGAAATTTTAAAAAGGGCTGCTACGCAGGAGTACGCGATCATACTCTTTACCCGGTCTTCTATTCGAACAAATACGGTATGTGTGAAGCGCCGAGAGAACCCAAAATTATTCAAATTCTAAACACTTTTCGGAGTTAGATTTAGATTTAGATTCAAGAAAATCCGCCGGATAAACTATTTACAATATAATGACTTCGGTAAATCTTATTTAAAATTAAATGATTACAATTGAAATTGCAGCTACCGTATTCTCTCTAATAGTAGTGCACCCAGCCGAGTTGATGACTATTTTACGGTTTCTAAAGTTTCCGCAGAAGCTCAACACTCGAATCCCCCACTAGATCTCATCTTTAAACTGACTGACAATAAGCTCATTGTCAGCTAAATGGATACTTTTGTACGCTAGAAAAGATGCTCTTAACTTTATAAACACAGTGTTTCCAATACATGTACATGTACAGAATCACGGGTACTTTGTGCCCAGAAACCGAAACACAAATCATCTAGCGCACCAAGTTCTCTCCTTTTCCTGCAATTGCATAAATTAAATTTAAATCAAGAAAGTTTGTGAAACACTGAATTTGCAAAACAGATTGAAAAGGGAAAAAGAGAAAAAAGAAAAAAGAGAAAAAAACAGACTAAAATGAAAGTATTCATGAAAATCGGACTGGTTTTCCTCTCTTTTTAGACTTTCCCCAAACAACAAAGGCATTTTGGTGAGATTTTGAGCAAAAATAGAAAAAAGAGACATAAACGATCAACCCATTCACTCCAAAAAAAAAGAGGAGAACTCTCGATTACTCATTTTAACGAATTTTTTACAATTTCGAGGCAGATTCGTCTTGAAAACTTTAACTTTAACTTTAACTTTAAGAAAACGTCTTGAAAACCTTTTTATTACCATTCTAAATTTAGCTTTTAACGAAAGATGTGATAAAATGATGTCAAAATGGTTATATGCTTTTGTGATGCTTGCAATTTTCCATTTCACATTCACAGCAGACCCAGTCGAGCAATTCTTTCGAACGATCGCTCTCACCGCAAAGCAACTGGGTGAAAGGGTAAGTAGAGAAAGAGAAAACGCGGAAACTTTTGCTATCTACTGTTAACTTGCCATTTTTTTTTACTCAATTTAATCTCAAAAGCTATTCAGTGGATCTCTCAAGTGTCCATTCCGACAATCAATGATATTGGAAATCCGTATGCTGGCGGGCTCATGTCGAATATCGATCCGAAGACGGCAACGGCTCTCGGATCTCTCACTGAAGTAATGTTTCAAGATTTCTATCAAGTTTTTTTGAGTATCGGATCGGATTCAATCTGTTGTATATGTTATATCCGACTTAAACTCAACAATAGTTTTAACAATTCCTACGTTGATAAACCATGTTTTTGTCATGCTTTTAAAAGTTTTTGATGTAATTTTGGGATGATAAAACTGAAAATTAGTATACTTTCACCTAAAAAGTGGCTAAATTCGGTAAAATTTACGGGCTTTTGGTGCAACTATTGTTTTTGACTTTGTTTTTGTCTCTGTTTTTGATTGAAAAAGCGATTTAGTGAAAAGACGCATGAAAAACTGTCTTCCTAAAAAAATACTTTCGCCTCTTTGCCAATTTAATATGCAAATTGATCTTTAACACCTTAATATAGTCAAGTTTATCAAAAATCTGCGAAGAATTGATGGTTTGGTTTTTGAGAAATCACTGTGCAAACCTTTTCCTAGAACTTTCTTTCCAACCTAATAGCATTTACTCAGAGTGCTAATTTGCTAATTGCACCACAAATGCGTCTAGACTCCAATTGAAAGATCACTCCACGACTTTTTCTTTTTCCTAGAACTTTCTTTCCAACTTAATATATCCGACTTGAACTCAACAATAGTTTTAACAATTCCTGCGTTGGTAAACCATGTTTTTATCATGCTTTTGAAAGTTTTTGATGTAATTTTGGGATGATAAAACTGAAAATTAGTATACTTTCGCTTAAAAAGTGGCTAAATTCGGTAAAAGTTACGGGCTTTTGGTGAAACTATTGTTTTTGACTTTGTTTTTGACTTTGTTTTTGATTGAAAAAAGCGATTTAGTGCAAAGACGCATGAAAAACTGTCAAAAACTGTTAAAAAATGACAAAAACATGACAAAAACATGATTTATCAACGCAGCAATTGTTAAAACTATTGTTGAGTCTAAATCGGATATAACTTATTAGCGGTTAGCGCCCATTTCGCCTAAAAAACATTTTGCGGAACGCCATTTTACCTAACGCCATTTCCCCTAAAGCTATTTTAAATGCATATTTTAAAAGCTTGTTAAGCAAATTTTTTTTAAAGGCGAATTAGTGTCGCATTTTTATATTATCCTCCGCCACTATTCTTTCCACAATCTTTTAATCAAATCAGATCAAATCAAATTCTAAACAAAATTGTATTTTAATCAAATTGATAAATTTAATGGTTTTATAAACGTGCATTTAGAAAATTTTCATCTTTTCTTTTTGCGTTTATTTTCTTTATCGCAAATAGCATTTTTTGGTATTTTGGTGGCTGGACGGGGCAACTTTTATCCTGGTTTAGTTGGATCTAATGTTTTGAGTGGTTGTTTTGATACTTTTTATCTACCTTTTTATCTACCTATTCTAGGGTAATCAAATATGCGTATACTTTTAAAAAATGGCGAAATGGCGTTAGGCGAAATTTCCGGATCCCAACATATACGTATTATTGGGTTGTCCAGTTATGAATGCGCGTTTTTTACTATTTTGTAAATTTCTCAAGATACCGAAATCGAGAAAAAGATATATATGAGTATTATTCGAAAGCTGAAGATCTCCTCTACATTTTGATATAAAAACGTTTTTGAATTTGTTCAACTTTTGGGCAAATTGACTGCACAGAAGAAGAGGTGGCCAAAAAATGGAAGGGTGTCTTTGGATCAAGTTTTGGCTCCTCTCAAATTGAGTTAACCGTTTGATGTTTGGCCAATAGATATATCTATACAACTTTTTTAAAAATATAACAATTTCAGAGCATCTTTTTTTCTGGGTGGTTATTTTACACCATAAAACTTGAGGAACAGCTAAGCTGGAATGGGTTTTTTTGAAAACGACCTCTCCCTTTGTGTAGTCAATTTCCCAAAAAGTTGAATAAATTCAAAAACGTTTTTATATCAAAATGTAGAGGAGATCTTCAGCTTTCGAATGATATATAACACTCATATACATCTTTTCGATATCTTGAGAAATTTACAAAATAGTAAAAACGCGCATGCATAACTGGACAAACCAATAGGTTGTCCGGAAATAAATCGGAGTGTTTTCAACGGAGTCCGGAGCGTTTTCAACTCGAATATTTCAAATCCCATAACTTGCTCCAAGAAAAACTTTATTAATCGAAATAAGAACCATTAAAATTAAATTAACACATTTACTAACATTTACCACATTTACCTATTTTGATCTAATACGGTTCCAATACGGTTCCTTTTTACCAACGAGAAGCAAGTTTATTTATGCCGGTAGCATAGAAGTCCGAGCTTCTGGAGGCGATAAAGTCGGCGAAGGCGTTTTAATATATGTTTTCTTGATATCCTTGATGTTGATGATACAATTTGAGCAGTTGACGAAGCTGACGAAGTTGATTTAACAATAAACAGACGAAATATTGAGCAATCTTTTTCAAAACAAAAATTCGACAACGAATTTTACCAAAGAGAAGAAATGCTGTGAAATGTCGGAGAAATTAGGGGTACGGTAAGAGGTCCACACTTTAGAAAACACTTAACAAATAAATAATTTGTGGGAAATGATTTAAAACAGCTATCATATTCCCGACACAAGTTTATTTATTCAGTTTTTTAATGCCTGCCCTTCACCGCAATACACTGATATCTCTGGCTCGTGGGCGATCATTTTCTCAAGTCGACAATTATTGCAAACATTGTTTCAGGATATCGATGAGGTGAGTAAATGATAGAATATAGAATAGAATATCAAAAATTGGTACTTGTGGGGGTCTTTCAATATCCGGGGTGGTAAAATTTTAAGATCCGGGGTAAACTTTCAAAAAACCAACCAAATGCGCAAAAATGTTTTTTTTTGTTAATATGGCTTTACCACTGTTTGCGCGTCGTACCAAACATAATAATTAAATAAATTTGTGAAGTACAACAGTGACTATTTGTAACAGTGACTATTTGTAACAGTGACTATTTGTAACAGTGAAAATGAATACGACCTGTAAAAATCTATCGAATTTACTTCTAGACCAGGAGGCCAAATATCAACACATAAAACTACCCCAAAAAATGGTTTTGAAGAAAAAAAAGTGATCTGCCAACTAGGATAGTATCAACATTTCTAATAATGACATAAAAAAATTTTGTAGAAGTTGCGTTTTTGATCGAGTATCGGGGGTGGGACAAATGCGAGCTTTTTTTGCGCACCTGGACATTTGCGCACCTTTTTCTTGCTGGAAAAGGCCTTAGGAAAGGTCGTAGAGCTTCGAAAATATTTCCATATAAAGGAATCGTATGCGTAGATTCCGAATTTCGACAAATCAGACCTCGCTGACACGTCAAATTTGGGCTAAAAGCCAAAAACTACGCAACTTAACGCTTTTCCGCAGTTTTTGCCTTTTAGCCCAAATTTGACGTGTCAGCGAGATCTGATTTGTCGAAATTCGGAATTTACGCATACGATTCCCTTATATGGAAATATTTTCGAAGCTCTACGACCTTTCCTAAGGCCTTTTCCAGCAAGAAAAAGGTGCGCAAATGTCCAGGTGCGCAAAAAAAGGTCGCATTTGTCCCACCCCCCGAGTATCACCTCGAATCACGTAATCAAGTAATCACCTCGAATAAATTGAATATCTTTACATTTGAAGGGAATTTGCCACCAAATCACTTATAACGTATATAAAATTTTACCCCACCGGATCTTAATCTTAGATCTTAAAATTTTACCCCACCGGATTGAAAGACCCCCCGGATACTCCACAAGTACCCAAAAATTTAACAAAACGAACTTCTACTAGAACTTTTAGATAGAATAGAATTTCCCGATAGAATTTCTAAAAGTCAATTAAACAATCAGACGAATCAATCAATTCAGACTGTCGACCGTTTAATGGCAAAACAATTTCTGAGCTCACGCAAAACCCTGGGATCTCTGTTTCGTGAAGAGGCTCGAGTGGAATGTGCCACGATTCAAGGTAAGTACTATAGGGACAGGCTTGGGGAAAAAATTCGAATAGTTATTAGTTCTAAAAAACATTAGAAAGGTTTTTAAGCAAGTTTCGTTAAGTTTTTCAAAATTCTCACAATTTGGAAAGATAATTTTTGGTGTACGATTCAAGGTAAGCAACATGGGACAGGCTAAACTTTCAATTGATGGGACGTGGCTAAGCTTTGAGTCCAAACCCATAGCCCTATAAACTATATCTATAATTTCTCTACAAAATGGCTTTTGAAAGAAAGCTCAAACCTCGCCTCAAAGCTCGGTAAAAACGCATTTTTCGATAAAATTTTCAATTGCTGTTTTAAAGAAAATGGATGGACCAACCGTTTTCAAATTTTACATACTTATGTAATCAAATAAGCTCTATCTTTTTTACTTTGACACTAAAATTGGTTTGTATTGAAGAAAGTGTGCAAACTTGCGACTTCGGCATTTTTGGGTGCTCGCCTTTGCGCCTTTGAAAATTCACAAAAACAACTACTTTCAAGAACTTCCTAAAAGCCATTTTGCAGAGAAAAAATCAAGCTTTTTAATAGTTTAAATAGAAATTTTGTTGATGGCGGCCTTATTTTTAAAAAAAGTTTTGAAAAATACGCCAACGCCAATAATACGCCAACGCCAACAATACGCAAACGCCAATAATACGCCAACGCTAATAATACTCCAACACCAATAATACGCCAACGCCAAAATAATACGCCAATGCCAATAATACGCCAACTTAATAGTGAGCAATGATGGTTCGTTCGAGTTGTCGTATCTGGGCGACGGGGGTCCGAAATCGATAATCGGGCGAGTGAATGTGAATCGAGATGAGACAATGACATGGGAATTCGCACCGACTGTTCGCACGGAATGTGAGTTGTAAACAATTTTCATGTAGAGTTTTTTCCTCGCGAGTAATGCGTGTTTTCAAAATGCATGCTGGGAAAAAATTACCGTACTTTTAGCAAAAATTATTGCAAAAAAATGACGACGAGCATTATATATGACGGGGGTGGGACAAATGCGACGTTTTTTTTGCGCACCTGGACATTTGCGCACCTTTTTTTTTGCTGGAAAAGGCATTAGGCAATGCCGTAGAGCTTCGAAAATATTTCCTAACAAGGGAATCGTATGCGTAGATTCCGAATTTCGACAAATCAGACCTCGCTGACACGTCAAATTTGGGCTAAAAGGCAAAAACTGCGGAAAAGCGTTAAGTTGCGTAGTTTTTGGCTTTTAGCCCAAATTTGACGTGTCAGCGAGGTCTGATTTGTCGAAATTCTGAATCTACGCATACGATTCCCTTCCATGAAAACATTTTCGAAGCTCTACGACCTTTCCTAAGGCCTTTTCCAGCAAAAAAAAAGGTGCGCAAATGTCCAGGTGCGCACCCCCCCCCCCCCAAAAAAAAAAATATAAAAAAAAAAAAAAAAAAAAAAATTTTTGGAAAAAAACTCAAAAAAAAAAAAAAAAAAAAAAAAAAAAAACAAAATACACAAAAAAAAAAAAAAAAATAATTCAGAAAATAATTACCCCGGAAAAAAACCCTCCATTTCCTTGTCTCAAAAAAAAACCCATCCGTTTTGGAGCCTGCTTTCTCCCTAAAAAAACTAGAAAAAGCAAAAATTTGGTACCTATTTAAAGCTTGAAAAGGTATCAGTGTAAAGTTTGAATTCATTTGAGAATGATTTTTCATTTTCTGTCACAGTTACCGTCATCTACACATCACAAGTGGCCGAAGCAACGCGGAGGGATGTCGTCATTTTGGCTCAAGTTAGTTCTAGAGAACTTACGGTAAATACTGTAGTACCCCACCCCCCTCGTACAGTCACGTAGTCGCAAAAGTTTTTAGTATTCCATTTTTTTCAAAGCGCCCATACTTTCAAAAAATGCGTCTTTGGTATCAAAAAATAGCTGAAATTCAGGGCTATTTTTTGATACCTAAGCGCGCATTGTAGCATAAACCAGTGTCGAGCAAAAACTCGTTCAAAGCTAGACTACGCAACACTCCGCACCGTCATTATGGGGGTGCGGTACTATTAGGTTGATGCAAAAGTCTTTTTCATTTTTTTCGTACTTCCGTTAAAAAGTAACAAATGCACCAATTAAACTACGGTTGATTTCATTAGAAAAACCAATTATTTTTCTGCAAAATGACATTAAAACGAGTTTAAAATGTCTTATGTCTAGATTTTTTTGAGAGCCTGAAGTCGGGTAGTCAAAAAAAGGCGACGGCTCGATGATGCATTTTAGACGCTTTAGCTAAGGAAACCAATCTTGATGTTAATAAATAGAAGATAGAGCACAAAAAGTTAGATATTTTTTCAGATTTTCAGAGAAATTGATTCAGCCAATTTCTTTATAGAGGTTTTTATAGATTTTTATGAAAAACCCGTTTTCACTCTCGAATTTGCTTGAAAGTGAACCCAAATTGACTTAAAAAGATGGGAAATTCAACAATAAACACTTTTCATTTAGAGCAAACCATAGGTTAATTGATGACTTTGTTATTTTTCAAAAGAAGTACGAAAAAAATGAAAAAGACTTTTGCATCAACCTAATATTACGGTATTTACGGTATATAATATCTTGTGACTAAGTTTCTTGAATAGCTAATCTGACCATCTGTTTATCGGTTTTGAGAAAGGAAAGTGTTTTTTGAGGAGAACTTGGAGTTTTTTCAAGAAAAAGCTTTAATGTTTCTTGCTGATTTTTGTGCTTTGATGGGATTTTCAAGAAATTTGTTTTCAAGAAAGTTGCTTCAAGAAAGTTTTTTCAAGAAAAACCTTTAATGTTTCTTGCTGATTTTTGTGTTTTGGTGGGATTTTGCTCACTCTTACGTGAAATCCCTTGTTTTGATAAGGGAAAATAAATGTTTTTTGCCCTCAAAATCGCTATCGGAATTTGGATTTGAGCGAAAATGAGAAATCCTTTTTGGCAAAAGAGAAATCCTCTTTGCAATTTTTGTCGTACAAACTTTTTCTCTATTACCAAATGACCTTGGTGAGTGGGGTAAACAAAAGTAAACACGGTGTTGAATATAGATTGTATCCAATATTCCTTGGTTCAAGGTAGAAGAATTTATTGAAGCACGGAGGGTTTATATACCGAAAAGATAAGTGCTAAATGTTTTGAAAGGTCTATGTTTTTGTCTGGGGAAATCGCGGAAAGCTTTTAGAGGATAAAGGAGGATCAAAGGAGGGAAATATTGGTCGATAGACTTTTAAAAGAAAAATAGATTTTAAAAGAAATTAGACTTTATCGGAAGAATTTCCGAACATTCCCGGCCAAAAGGAAAGGAAGATGGAAACAACGAAGTAAGGTTCTGAACAATTTACAAAACAAGATAATCACATATGGAACGATGAAGAGCAATGCGATTATTGTGATGATCATGGAGATGTCCTTGAGGATGAATTCGTAGAGTAGTTGTTGAAGCCATGACGCGCTGCCCACTGAGACATCCGTCATTTCCGGCTTCATCACCGTCCATTCGCTACGGGTTTGCTCGATGTAGAAGAGTCGTCCCCGTAGTTGAGTGTTGGTTTTTCCTCCTGGGCAGGATAGTTGGCAATCCATGTCGATGTTCGATTCTTCGAAGTTGATCGTCGTCTGTCGTTTTGAGTGAGAACCGTCACAGACGAGTGTTGTTGTTGAGTTTCCACATAGAAGGTGTCCCGACGTCTGGCCGAATTCCGCTGTACAGACGTAGTCGAGTACGGCCCCGATGTCACACGAGAAACATCCCTTGATGCTTAGGTCCTCGAGCTGGCAACGGGCCACGTCCACCCTGGTGGTTGTAGTCATTCCTTGGATGTTGATGGCCAGTGTCGTTATTGTGTTTCCGGCGAGTCCGGTGACCGTCTTTGAGCGGTCGTCGAATTGGAATAGGTCTCCTCGTATTGAGATCGGTAGTCTATGTGATGTCCAATCCGGTCCGGTCAATCGTCCACAAACGATTCTTTCATCCACCATTCGGCAAGCAAGTTGTTGTTCATCAATTTTGCATTGACTTGTCATCCGCATCGCGTCCATTTGTGTTGGACATTGGAAGAGTGTTGCTGCTTTTGCTTGGACTTCGTCGAGGGCCGTAGCAGTTTCCTGGTTTATGATGGCAAACTGTCTCTGGCTGATTTCTTTCTGGACATCGATGTTGATGACTCCGATAGAAAGGGTCCTGTCCTTATCGGTCTCTCCCGGGGCCAAAATTGACTTCCCTTTTTCCCTTCCAGGTCCCACTCGACAATTGCTGATTTGACCCATTCACAGTTGATGACTTCGATGGTTGTATTGTCGATAGGTGAAGCGAAGGATCTGGAGAAGAGGCAAGCGGGTGCAAAGGAAATGCAGCCACAGATGAAGCCGGAGCATCCGTCTTGACATCTGGAGTTTCCTGGGAGGTGGCTCGTTTGTCGGAATTCCTCGATCTTTGCGTTGTGTGTTGTGGTTGCACATGCGTTTGAGCTGCATGACCCCATTCCAGGGCATCGGCGAGTTGAGACGGTATGGATTTCGACTGGTCGAGTGAATACTCGATTTCCTGTCCTTGAACACCGATAACTGCCTTGTGCACGAATTCGCAGGGTGCCAGCGGGTTTTTCGGTGTGATCTTTGAACATGATACAGGCTTCCTCATGGTCCCGAAGTGTCAACATTGTTTTCTGTTCAAATCGGCATGAGGTCAGTCCGTTGTGGAAAACTTGGCATTCGTGATTTTTTGCTTGAATTGTGATTGTTTCGCCGCAGCTGTAGACTTGGGATGGCCAATGGAGAAGAAGTAGTAGCGCGAGTCTCATCAGTCGAATGGGGTAGGTTCTTTGGCGGCGTTGTCGGCGGGTTGCTCGCTTGACGATAGCGATTGTAGCCCAGAACCATGTGATGCCGATGAGAACTCGGAGTAGAGCGCCTCCCACCCTGGACACTGTGCATTGTGGTGTGAAATAGGTCGACCAACAGATGATGCAGTTCGAGACGTCGCATATGTTGAGAGGAGGGCATTGGAGTAGTCGTTTTTCTCGTAGATTTCCATTTTTCCAGGCCGTGATCTCAAAAGTGTGGTTGGTGATTCGATATTTAGGGGGCGTGCAGAATTCGGTGGGTCCTTGTGAAATTTGTGAAGGGTCGAGATGGGTACATTGTCGATTGGATCCCGTGTTCACGCATATTTCAGCAAGGTCGTTGCATTCCGGAATGATATCGATGACGAGGCCGCTATTTGTGCAATTGAAAGATAGCCTTCGGCATTTTTCTGTCGTGTCGTTTTTCTCTTCTTGAACATAGACCCGTTTGTTGCTGGTGGCCCAAGCCTTGATGGGTACAGCTCCATTGGGAGTCTGAAGGAGAGCGAGTTCATGTCTCGGGAAGAGACAAAATCGCGGTCCTCCCCTGGTGCATTTGAATTGTTCGCAGAAGGTTGAGGTTCCGTCGACGTCACCTTCACCGATACAGATTGGTTCCGTTATCTGCTTCCTGATGATGTTCAATTCGTTGACCCATGCCATGGCTCCGTTGTACAGCATCACCTCATGAATACTTCGTGTTTGTTGGATTGGGCATTGTTGGCTTTTGACCCGACACAAGTTGGGAGCCATTTTTGCAATTCTTTCTCCGTGCTCGGGTAGATATTGGGTTGATGGGTGCTTGATCAGCCAAGAACAATCGTCGGCCCAATTTGGGCATCGGCAAGGGGTGGTGCAAGGCGAGGTGAGGTAGCTTGGATCCGTGTGCCGTCGGATGTGCTGGTCAATTCCGCAGGAGACCGGCTTGGCGCAAGCCCTCCCCTTATTCTCGTGGATTGCCAACCCAAATCGTGTGCAGTATTCTTGGTACCTCACGATACCTGAGCAGGCGCTCGCTGCGACTCCGCTCATCAGTTGTAGAACGAGAATCACAGTAGTGTAGGTGATTGCTTTCCGTGGCCGAAATTCGTATCTTGATCTTGAGCTTTCGACAATCTTTTGAGCACTGCCGTTTTTGCTTTGGGATCCTTTTGATACATCTTTGTTTTCAGTTGGTTTTTCGGCCTCACTTTCTGGCTTCTCGTTTGCCGTCGTGTTCTCATTTTCTTCCGGCAAGATCTCCAGTGGGTACAAGGTAGCGATAGAACGAATAGTTGAGCGACCATTTGACATCTGAACTTCAGCCGATCGTACATGTCCGTCATTGCTTTCGACCAGTCTGGTGATCTTTCCTGTTCTCCATTTACCTTTGGCGACATTCGGCTCGTAGACAATGACGATTTCGTCAAGAATTGGACGACGCTTTGTGGCGTTTGGGTGTTGTTTGAGACCTTGGAAACCTCTTTCCCGCAAAGCCAGTAGGTAGTCGGTCGTGAAGAGTTCCCAGAAAATATTCGTTCGGTCCACTGCATGCTGCCAGGATGCTCGGAGAGACCGTTGCGTATTTCCTTGAAGTGGCTGGCTATCCTGCAGTTCTTCGGTTGGCAGGCGAATTGTTGCATTGGGTATTGTGAGATCGATTGGGCGAGGGACTTTCCCATTTCCAAGGTTTGTCAGTGGTCGTGAGTTCACAACGGCCTCGGCTTCCGCGGTGAAAGTGATGAACTCTTCGATGTCGAGGAGTCGGTTTCGGATGGTTCTTCGGAGGCTTTCTTTGATGATTCGGATCATTCGTTCATAAAGTCCTCCAGACCATGGTGACAAGACTGGGATGTGCTTCCACGTGATTCGGTCCTTCAGAGCCGATTTTTCGAACAATTCTTGATCTGCATTGCTCCAGGATTCGATGAGCGGTGAAGTGGCTCTGAAGTTAGT